TTCTCCTGGCTGGTGAAGTCTGTTCATGCCATTCCGGGGCTGCAGGAGACTGGGGAACCCCAACGCGCCGTCACACAAGGTACTAACAAACTTCAACTGGATTTTATTTACCAAAAGTGGAGCCTCTTTACAAAGCTGCTGCATCCTTCAGTAGCTCTTAGAAGCATCAGTAGCCACAATTGTGGGCAATGCAGGACTGAATAGTGCAAGTACTGGACTATGTACAATCAAGTCTTTCACAGTTTTCCAAACTAGCTTGTGCATCTGTTGTCCACACCAACGTTGAACTTCTCCGTAGCAATTCTTGAATTGATTCAATGACAGAAGCATAATTGGGAATAAATTTTGCATACCAGGAGGTAAGACCCAAGAAGGAACTTAAGGTTTGCAAATCTGTTGGAGGAGGAGCCTTTGAAATTTCTAGGATATGATCTGGATCAGGTTTTAGTTCAGCCAGTGACATTGTAAGCCCCAGAAAGGAGAGTTCTGTTTGTCTACATTTGCATTTAGACAAGTTGAGCTTGAGGCCTGCTGTACTGATGCAGTTTAGTACAGACTGCAAGTTATTCTCATGCTCCTCAGAAGTCTTTCCAAACACAATAATATCATCCAGATAGCACTGAACTCCATGTTGATTCTTCAGAATCAATGACATCATTTTTGGAAGGCACTTGGGTCAGATGCAAGACCATATGGAACACGTTTAAAATGAAATAGTCCCTCATGTGTAATAAATGCTGTGAGATCTCTGCTGTCTTCATGAAGCATAACCTGGTGGTATGCACTCTGCAAATCAAGAGTAGAAAACATCTTTGCTCCACAGAGTTCTACAAATACTTCTTCTATGTGAGGCAGTGGGTGGCTGTCAATCACAATACCTTTCTTTGGCTCCCTTAAGTCCACACAAAGGCGAATGCCTCCATCCTTCTTCCGTGTCACCACTATAGGTGAAGCCCATTCAGATGAGTCAATCTCTTCAATAATGTCCTTTTGAACAAGTTTTTTAAGTTCTTCTGAAACAGCTTCCCTGACTGAAAATAGTAAGCACCGTAACTTCTGTTGTACAGGCATCACATTATGCCGCATTTTAACTTTGTGCACAAACCCATAAGCACAGCCAAGTTTCTCTTTAACCTGGTCTTGGGTCCCAGCTGAAACTGGTTGGCTGTGTCTAGACAGGCAAGTTTTTCCGCAAAATCATCTGCTGTTGCGGAAAAACTTGCCAGCTGTCTACACTGGCTGCTTGAATTTCCGCAAGAACACTGACGATCTCATGTAAGATCATCAGTGTTCTTGCAGAAATACTGTGCTGCTCCCGTTCAGGCAAAAGCCCTCTTGCGCAAATCATTTGCGCAAGAGGGCCAGTGTAGACAGCACAGTACTGTTTTGCTCAAAAAAGCCCCAATGGCGAAAATGGTGATCAGAGCTTTTTTGCGCAAAAGCGCATCTAGATTGGCACGGACGCTTTTCCGCAAAAAGTGCTTTTGTGGAAAAGCATCTGTGCCAATCTAGATGGTCTTTTCCAAAAATGCTTTTAACGGAAAACTTTTCCGTTAAAAGCATTTCCGGAAAATCATGCCAGTGTAGACGTAGCCATTGTGTGTACTGCAAGAGTGCTTTGCTGAGGAAGGTCAATTTGTCCATTAACTACCCTGAAGTTTCAAATAGCCAATAAATCTCTGCCAAGGATAGGAGTGCCTTTGTGGACAATGCAAAACTCTGCAGTTACACAGCAATCACCAAAAGTCACCGTGGCTGGCAGGCAGCCACGTACTGGTATTTGGTTTTTCAAATACCACACCTAGTAAAGTTTGGGTTCAGTAAGAGGCACATCTTTTTAGTAATGCAAATAGATGGAATCATGTAGTATAGATACTGACATATAGATATGTCCAACATTAGCTGAATAGGATGTAATTTGCCTGAAGATGTGGCAGAAACATTTACAGTGCACCTTATCTGTTTTGGAATATGTGCAGTAGTGATTTTGTCCACACTCAGCACAGTAACATCTGGTATTGTAACTGTATGCACCTGTTGATTGGACTGGCTACTGCGGCACACCTTAGCTAAATGCTCAATCTTTTTGTAGTGATTGCACTGAGCCACTTTTGCAGGACATCTTGTGTAGCTTGTAAGGTGTTGTGGGGATCCACAGCGAAAGTATGCTTTTGCCGTGCTTTGAATTTGCTGATTCTGTGGGTTTTCATTAGCTTTCTCCTTGTAACTGTTTGTCTGCAGTGATAGTGGACTTTTCAGCAAAGGAGTCACAGCCTGAACTGGGCCTCCTGTATCCATGCTCATTATTTTGGCTTCTGCTATAGCTGACTCAATTTGGGTAGCAATTGCTTTTTCCAATGTAAGTTGTGTTCTAGAAGCAAGTGTTCTCTTACATAAAGCATGGTTGTTTTCCCAATGAGCTGGTCTCTAATCATCTCATCTGCCATATTCCTGAAGTCACAAGTTACAATCAGACTCCTCAGAGAAGCAATATACTGCATTATAGTCTCCCCTGGTTTCTGCTCACACTGGCAAAATCTATAGCGATTAACTATTATATTCATTTTTGGCACAAAAAAGTTCTTTAATGCAATGAGTACAGTCTCATATTTATCATCTGCAAGGGGAAAAGTGTAAAATATCCGCTGCCCTTCTGCTCCAAGGCAGTGGATTAGCAGAGCACATTTTCTTACTTCAGAAATCTCTGTAGCACTGATAGCAAGCAGATAAATCTCAAACATACAAATCCTGTCAGTAAAATCAATTGGAGGCTCATCTGGGCTTTGCAGAAAGGGTGCAGGTGGGTTCAGAGGCAGAAGATCCATCCTCATCTCCAAATTGTTGTATCATGCAAGCAAGGTACTAACAAACTTCAACAGGACTTTATTTACCAAAAGTGGAGCCTCTTTACAAAGCTGCTGCATCCCTCAGTAACTCTCACTTAGCCCTCTTTCCTGTTTCCTGTGCTTCCAGACTCCCAACAGCTAGTGCTCCCAGTTCTAATAATTACAAGCAGCACCTAAAACACCACAAAATGTTTGTTTACGTTCCTTTAAAATGTTATAGGGACATTTCTGTTCCCTGGCTGATGCTTATAAGGAACTGTATGAGTAATTCTTTAACTAAGTTCAATGGAGTTAAGCGTCTGCTTACTTTTTTACAAGATCATTGCCAAATGACTACTTGGGCTGCCCTGGGCCCGGCAAAATGGTCATCTGCCCCTACCCAAATGCATTCGCTACATTGTACAGTGGGTTCTCCGTTCGGCAAAAGGCCTGTGTCCCGAGGGGCTGTTTTGTTACTGGCGAAAAGGAGATAAAACAACAAGAGACAGGGATGGGAATTCTAAATGTTGTGAATTCAGTTTATGCCCAGGAAACTGATGTCACCTCTTCTGCTCTGATAGTGTAACACCAAACGCTGAATGTCTACGGCACCTTTCATCCCAGGCTCTCGGAACAGATATAAGGGACTCGATGGACTCCCTTCAGAAGACAGCTCTATGCCTCCTGTTCCTGTCCATTTCTTCGGGTGCTTCCGACAGCCGTAAGTCACCTCATTTTACGTGTTTGCCGCAATACTGTGTTTTTTATGCTGCAAGGAGAAAGCTGAACTGCTAAACATTAAAAGCAGCAACTCAATCAGTTGGAGCTAGAGCAGTAGCTCTCAACCCACAGCCCAATTAGCAGATTTGTAGCTCATGCAAGACCCTCAGGGCCAAACGGGTAGTGACGGACAAGCTATAGGTTGAGAACAACCACTGAGCTAGACTAAGGAGAAACTGAAGTAGGCTACGTAGAAAGAACTGAAGCTAGAGTGGAAAGGAACCAGAAGCTTGGCAAAGAGGCTGATTGTCTAAAGCAGTGGTGTCCAACCTTTTTACACCCAAGATCACTTTTTAAATGACAGAACAAGCCACGATCTACCATTCCGCCCCTTCCTTGAAGCCCCACCCCTTCCTTGAAGCCCCGCCCTCTCTATTCTCTTCCTCTCCATCACTTTTTTCGTTCATCACCTATTAAACCATCTTGTTAGTCTTTAAAGTGCTACATAGTTTTTCAATGTCAGAAAAACCCTTTCTTTTGGAGGCCCCTTATTCTTTGTGGAAAGAGGAATATAGGGGTGACCGAAAGATCATGTTTGATCTTCCACTAAAAGAAGTGGAAGAACAAATGCATCCCTGCATGCAGAAGAGTTTTTCTGGGATATCTCCAAAATCCTGAAAAACTCCTGCAGTCTAGCCGGACCCTCTCTGGGTTGAGACAGGATGTGTAGGCTCCCGGGTGGGAATGAGGGATTTGGGTGTGGGAAGAGGTGAGAGGTTCAAGCTCTGGGAGGAAATCTGGATGCAGGAGGAGATGGATAAGGGGACACTGGCTTGGGGAGGGGTCTCCAGGCCAGGCAGTGTTGGGGTCAGATGTAGGGTTAGGGTACTAAGCAAGCTACAGACTTCTGGATGTGAGGGTTCAGGAATTTGGGTTGGAGTATGTGAGGGGCTCAGGGCAGGGGGTTCCAATGTATGATAGGCTCAGATGTAA